AGCAGGCTGGAGAAGGCGGGAGTTGAACTCTGACGCCACTGTCTGGCCGTTAGTGGCCGACTCCGCCTACACTCAGACTCGGGTGCTTCATCACTTCCTGCGCGGGGGTCGAGTGGACTCTGCTCTGAGCGAGCGCGTGACACGAGGCGTCGCCTGCGGGTGCGGCTTCGGCGAGGCCTTGTCGACAAACGAAAAATGCGGGTGGGGTTCTGGTGGCTCGTTGGCTGAGTAGTTCGCTGCGATACGAAGCAGTCACCAATTATTGCCCTTGTTCGAATTTTTTCTTTCGCTACTAACCGTTTTACGGTGTGAGCGCGGAGGGGGGGGTGGGTCGGTGTGTAGAAATTTCTTTTAGGAAACCTTGGTTTACTTTGTTTTTGTTTAATTTGATTTTATATATTGGTTAACTGTTATGTTACTATTGAGATGTTGCGTAGTACATCTACGATGTTGAAAGTTTGTGCCAGCCACCTAGAACCATAATTTTTCAGAGACGCGCCAAGATCACAATGGCTGCTCGTCAGCGCTTCGCACGAAACCTGGCTGGCGTCATCGAAAAGGGCCGTGTTTCCCACAGTACCTCCTGCACTGTCCAGATGACGTCTGTCGGTTGGGCCCGAGAAATCAAGAAACTAGTCTGGGATCATGGAGCCGCACACGAGGCGGTGTGTCCCGTTAGTTCAGTGGACGCCGCCGACGGGGTGCGGCGGCTAAAGTCCGCGGGTGTGTACTCCGGGGCGACTGCGCAGTGGAAGACAGAAAGAAGACCCGAAAACCCAAATGCGGGACCGTCCGGCCGGTTGTTTCTGCGGGTCGCCGGCCCCGAACAGTGGCAGCAAGTGGGGTACGGGCGCGGGTGTTAGCGGGGGCGGGGCCTTCAGGGGGCCTCAACCCGCCTGACCGAAGTCCTGATCTGGCTCCTGACGCACCGATGAGGGTCGTCAAGGAGTGGACGTAGAGATTCGTCCCTGGCCTTGGGGGGTCCCCGCAGTGCGTGCGGTCTTTGTCCATAAGAGTACTTGAGTAAAGAGATCAAGGCGGAGACAAAACCAACTTGGCGCTCGTAAAAGCGCTTGATATAGCCCTTGATTTCACCCGTGTGTCTTTGGAGGCCACACTTAGCGCCGATATCTGACATAATTTCATCTTACCTGGCATCCAGCGGCAGACTCCAGCGTGGTGGGGGTAGCTCCTAAGGACGTCTCAACGGNGTTATGCTGGCCCGGGGTGTCTAGATAGTGCTTCTGGGCCAGCGGGCCAATTATTATGTCGAGCCCTGGGCTTATCTAAAACCAATTGAGTAGCACTTGAAATGTTTTAGCTCTATGAAACCTGATGTACTTATATGATTCTGTTTTCTTCAAGTTTGTATCTTGTTATTGTAAATCACTTTGGATAAAAGCGTCAGCTAAATGCAATATGATGTGAATGAAAAACAAGAAATGGCACATGATCAAAGGATACTTGCTAGCCATTTATTTGATTCCAGGTCAGGGTTTCATGATTGAAATGACATTTAAATGTGAGGCTGTTTTTTATCTCGCCACGTTTGATTGGAGGTCCATAAGTCATCACAAAGATAAGAATATTGTAGAGGATTGTTCACATTAAATAAGGTTATTACGGTCTATGAGAGCTTTAGAGGAAATGAGCGTCTCATCTGGTGCTGTCAGGAAATAATACCTAAAAAAACACTGATTACATTCATTCTGTCGGGATATTTAATCTCAATTACATATTCCATGTTATGTTCATAATAAATGTCTTTCAAAAAAATTCAAATACAGGGCTACATTAACAATTTATTCAAATAATTTGCTCAGTTGTTACTGAGAGGGATTGGTTAACATTTTATAGTACTTGTGAAAAAGTGTATCTAGAAATATTGAGGCTTTGTTTTCTTCAGCAGATATTGAGAGCTAACAAAAGAACTAGTGAGTGCACATACAGTAAGTTGGGGTTGTGGTCAAGTACATATGTGTTTCATTTAATGTTCGCAAATTTACATTTGTGTCTCCAATATCAGTATAATGTATTGACATCTACATTACTGGCTGACTGATTATTAGAACGACTGAGTCATTGGGTCTGACTTGAGCTTTTACAAACAATCAGTAGTCATTGCAATATGATGTCCAATTATGCCCTGTGGTGTTATGAATAAATAACAGCTTTCCCTGAGGCTGTTGATGGTCGCTGTCTCATTATATTAGCGAAGCAGCGTTTGGAGTGTCAGCTCCATGAACACATTTTGAAGGAGAGGAGCTAACATTTGTTTGGCCTACATATTGTTTAAGACACGACAGTCTCCACATGAACATCCTAGACAGAGCAGCTGTCATTGTTCAAAAAAATATGTTGAATAAATAATACAGACTCAAGGTAGCAGGATTGTCAGTTTGATGATGATATGAGAGAAGTTGTATTTAAACCACCTGGTTGGCCTTTAAATGGTTAATGATGGTTCACCACTCATCCAAATGGCTTCTTAGGATTCAACACCAGGTGGGGCCGACTCTTGGCATTCGTTACCGTGGAGATGCCGTACCTCCTGTCATATGAGGATGTGCCTCAGGACACCCACTCATCAGGAGGCATGGCAGCTCCACAGGGATGGATGCCCAGCTTTTCTCCACCTGATGTTAAAAGCTGAAGCAGCATCCTTTTGAAAGTAAACATTGCAATCATTTGATAACAAGTCCAATGGAATGTTTTAGACTGAATGAGACATTACTGATGACACAACAGATCTACCAGGTTTATGTAGTTTTGAAGCCATGTGGGCATTGTGGGGAAACACTGCTGTGATCCCTTATCACCGGGTGTCTTTCTCTTATTGAATGTATTCATGTAATTTCTCATGTTATCTAAGTAGGAGTAAAATCCACGATGATATTTTAGCTGCATTTCCTGTATGTTATAATGCTTTAAGTGCTCTTGTGTGAACGTTGATTCATGTGTGTCCTCCTGCCTGAAATCTGTGCCGTTTTGAAACGGTTTCGGCTGTGAACTCCTCCACCTGCTCTGCGGTCTGTCGATAATACAGCAGGGCATGATGGAAACCTTAATCACTCTAGTTTCNGTGAGCAAAAATCCCAGAACCACACGGGGGGACCTAGTCAATGACCTGCAGAGAGCTGGGACCAAAGTAACAAGGCCTACCATCAGTAACACACTACGCCGCCAAGGACTTCAAATCCTGCAGTGCCAGACGTGTCCCCCGCTTAAGCCAGTACATGTCCAGGCCCGTTTGAAGTTTGCTAAGAGAGCATTTAGATGATCCCGAAGAGGATTGGGAAAGTCATGTGGGTCAGATGAAACCAAAATAGAACTTTTGGTAAACTGCACTAGAACGTGTTTGGAGGAGGAAGAATGCTGAGTTGCCATCCAAGAACACCATACTACTGTGAAACATGGGGGGGAAACATCATGCATTGGCTGTTTGTCTGCAAAGGGACCAGGACGGACTGATCCCGTGAAAAGGAAAGAATGAATGGGGCCAGATACGAGAAGAGGTTGAGTGACAACCTCCTTCCATCAGCAAGGCATTGAAGATGAAACGTGGCCTGGGTCTTTCACATGGGAAAATTATCCCAAACACAAAGGAGGAAAACGAAAGGAGTGGCGTCCGTAAGAAGCATTCAAGGTCCTGGAAGTGGCCCTACCAGTCTCCAGTCTCACCCAATAGAAAATCTTGGAGGGAGGTATAAAGTCCTGTGTGTGCCCAGCGACAGCCCAAAACACACTGCTTCTAGAGGAGATTGCATGGAGGAAAATGGGCCCAAATACCAGCAACATGGTGTGATAACCTTGTGAAGACTTACAGAAAACGTTTTGCCCTCTATCATGGCAAACAAAGAAACAAATATGAGATTGAACTTTGTTATTGACCAATATTATTTTTCCACCATAATTTGAAAATATTCTTGTAAAATCAGACATGTGATGTTCTGGATTGTTTTTTTTCTTCTCATTGTTTCTCTCATAGTTGAGGACATACCTAGGATTAAAATTACAGGCCTCTCATCTTTTAAGTGGGAGAACTTGCACAATTGTGGCTGAGTAAATACTTTGCCCCACTGTAATACTGTAAGAGAAAGGAGTTCATAAAAGAGAGATCAAAAAGAGGATTTCAAGCCTGTAAACTTAAATGAAATTGTGTCTGCCTTTTTTTATCCCATCTTTAAACAAAAGCACAAGATGATTAACAAACATTTCCCGCTTACACTTGACACCTTTAAACTAAGATATATATGACCTTGCAGTCAGCAAAGATCCTGTAGTGAGTGTGAGACATATTATACTAGAGCATTTCCCAAAATAGCTTAAACATTTGGGAAATTGTAATCCCTTCTGATCTTCAATCAATCATTTTTGGAAAGGAGATGTTATTGACTGAAAATGCATTTGAGCAAAGTCATTGTCCAGTCCATAGCCGTCACCCATCCAAACACATGTTTCCCCTACCCATTTGTCTTGGAGGGGCACTGGCCCACCAACGAGCGTCGCCCCCCTGAAATTCAAGGTGTTTAAAAAAAAAGAAAGAAGATTATTATTATATTTTTATTTCTCCTTTTAAATATATATATAGTATATAGTATAGCACCAAATGCAACTAACCATATCAACTGTCACTTTCATGAACTTGTCCTTTTTATAAATAAACAAACACTTCATTTTAAGTTCTGTGAGTTTAGTGTTTTTGACCCTAAGAAACAGATGCATTAATCAATAACAATAATCCACAGCTCCTCTCTCTGCTCCAGAGGAGTTAAACAAAAAAAATATCCCAATGGTTCTTTGGTGTGAGTTTGGTGTGTAAGGAGCTTAAAGGTCAGCTTCAGAGTGAAAATGTGACAAAAATAATTGTAATAATAATTGTAGAGCCATGGTTTAAAACTCTTCCTATGGAGATGTGAAGTACTGAAACCACGTTTGACCGCTCTCGGTTTAGTTTTTACCAATCTCAATGTCTGTTTTTGTGATTTTGTTTTCAGCATTAAACAATGGCAGAACACCAGCATATGTGCCTGCGGCTCACATGTCCAGTGGGGCTGCAGGGGGAGGTCGTGCAAACCAGATATATGTCCTTCTGGTTGGAGCAGCCTGCGTCGGGGGTGGAGTATACGTGAGTTGGTTTAGTCTGTCACAGGACATGCATTAAAAATCGGTGGAATTATCAGTGGAGTTCAGTGACGCAAATGCTGGTTGCTGACAACTTTTTGTTTTTATCTCAGACATACCGAACTGTCAAGGGAGACGGCCAAAGATATCAGGAACGTATTGAAGAAATCTCCTCCCGGCCAAATAAAACACAAGCCTCCTACATCCAGACAGAGCCTCCTGGTGAGCATTTTATATTAACTGATTTTAAGTGAAAACATTGACCTTCTACTTAAGTCCCTAAACAAGTCCAAATATATTCCTATCCGAGCCTGGACATTTCACTGTGTGTTTGGTCACGATCAATTAAGAATTTCCCTGTTTTGTTTTCCTGTAGCTGTGGAAGCCACTGTGTTTTTCTCTTTAATTGCTGAGTAGATGTTTATCTTAAGATTGCTATATCAAACTCCAACTCTGTTAATAGGTAGTAAAACTTGGTATATTTGCTACAATGAACAGAGAGCTTGTGCTTAAGCTACACCATTCTTATGAACAATGCCTGATTGCCTGTGAAGGTTACTTATGTTGGGAGTATAGTTGAAATCAGCTGACTCTGCACTGCATGGTGTAATTTCCTATTTCAATGTAAAAAGGAGCGATTGAGACCACTAAAGAAAATGTATTTGAATCTGTTTTAAGCTGGTTCATGAAAGCCCTAATTTGAATTAAAGGGGGGGCAAAAATGAAGGTCTTTTACATTGAAAGGGGTTGAATAAACATGATTTGCGCAAGACTGAAAATTCTGTAGATATTTGTATTTTACTTTCTGCTGCCTGTATGTGTGTCTTCCGCAGTGTGTTTGTTGGTACCCTGAAATAACTGGTTTTAAAATGTAAACAACTTCATTTAAACCCTGCTCTTAATGTCACATAACACAAATGTAATCGTGTTTAAAATGAATCTAACTACAGGGGTAGACATTAAGGGTAAAATGCCACTGGCCCTCCGGGCCGGTGGAATGTTATTATCACTGGCCCCACCATTGTAACCACTGGCCCGGAGCATTCGTCCAAAAGAAAATCGACTTATAATGAAAAAAATTAACACATTTGTTGCAATAGTAATTTATGCACTAACTACATTACTACTTGTACTACAACATTTGAATCATCAGTTCTTCCTCATTTTCCTCAATTGTTCATATTTGGTTTATTAAAATAATGATATTGTGGTCATTGTTAAAAAATGTCTGCTATTATTATGAGTATTATTATTTGTATAATGCGCTTTCTGTCTTCCTGTCATTAGGAGTTAGAAATGTAATGGCTATGTAGTAGATTAGATTAGAAACTTCATTATCCTAAACTGCTGGGACATTTCCCTATAGCCAATACCTTTATATTTTCTACTGTTCACTGACTTGTCAGCATAGGTCGGCATTGATGTACAGAGCCGACAGAAGACCTTGTTTATATTGGCATCATATTGAGAGGTGCAGCCAGTGACGCGTCCTAAAACCAGGAAGTAAGCCCCTGGTTCCCTCGTCAAAAAGCAATGGGATTTCTCCACAGGGTTTTGGAAAATAGCTGGAAATAAGGTCTGTGGAAAACAAACCTGTTTGATAAATGCACGTTTTGTTCACCCGGATAATCTCCACGTTTTGTTACCCTACTTTTATAATTTTCGAATCATAAATCTAATCGATAGATTATAAAAAGGGTTTTAGGACGCGTTACAGTGTGGCTAAAACCTTCTCTCCCTCTTCTTCTCATACTCCCTGTCACTCTCCTTTAACTCCTCCGGTGACTTTATTTTATTTGAAGATTGATTTTTGCCCGGTGCTTGGCCGGTTACCGCTGGTATTAAAAATATTTTGGCGAATGGTTAGGTGGCGCGATAGTCTGAAGTGAAGGAGCGCGCTCCCGCTCACGGGAGCCTGCTCGCGCTGCACTCCGCAGCAAACAGCCGTTTGCTTTTCACCCAACAACGACAACCGACTCACAAAACGCTATGTTGTAGCGTTTCTTGTCTCTTCCTTCTCTTAGGGTCCTTTAGTGTAACATCTAAAATGTACTTAATTAACCATTTAAGGAGCCATTTTAATTCATAAACCAGTGGATGTTGTTTGTTCTAAAAGACCGAGAGTGTCTGGACAGTTGAAAAGAAATTCTCGGGAGAAGACAGGAGGTGAACAATTGACATAATTACCTTGGACAACTTGAGCATAGGCATTTTCTGTGGACAGGTGTTGGAGTTTGTCCAGTGTGAGGGTGTTGAGGTGATACCGGTCTGGTTTACTCGACAGTTTCCTATGGTCTTTGTCTTAACATCTTGACGAGGTCCGACCCTTCTGACTTAGGACGTTATCCATTCGTCGAACAACTTATTTAGTTGACACCCTCGTTAATAATTTTTACCTTCTGTATGTTCTGTACTATTAGGGGAGTGACCCAAGTGCGTTCAAGAGTGGGACACACCAGTTTTCTTAGTGTTCTTGCCACTCGTTTTTAGGGTCTTGGTGTGCGCCCCCTGGATAAGTTACTGGACGTCTCTTCGACCCTGGTTTCATGTTTCCGATGGTAGTGATCGTGTCGGATGCGGCGTCCCTGGAGTTTAGGACGTCACGGTCTGCAACAGGGGGACGGAATTCGGGTCATGTACGAGGTCCGGGCAGACTTCAAACGATCACTCATAAAATGCTACTAGGTCTTCTCCTAACCCTCTTACAGTATACCAGTCTACTTTGTTTTATATTGAAAAACCATTTTTTAGTTGATCTGCACAAACTCCTCTTTCTTTTACGACTCAACGTAGTTCTTTGTATATGACACTTTGTACCCCCACCTTTGTAGTATAACCGACAAAAAGACGTTCCCTGGTCCTGCTGACTAGCACATTTCGTCCCAGAGGTTGGTCAGCTGGGCGGCTAGCTGCCAGCTATGGCGTCTCCACCACGCCATTTAGCACCTGGTAATTTTTTTTTTCATTGTTCTTTCTTTTTAGTTTAATTTTATTATTACAAACTTTTTTTGCAAAATCTACATTGATAGTGTGGCAATCGTCCACGGTGAACTAACTGCATATAAACTCTGTGGAGGTTATTATATTATGTAATTGGCACGAAATTGCACTTGGAGTAGTAACTTGTTCTCTCCTGCCGTCCTGACGGTTAAGGCACAAGTCACTTACGTTGTCTCCGTTCAGTTGGTTCTGGTTAGTCTCTCAACTACCTTTATGTGCAACACGAACACAGTAGTTCAGCCGAGACACACACACACCGTTATCGGCGGTAAATCACACTATGCTCTCTCTCTCCTTCTCTCTCGCTCTCTCTCCCTGGCCACGATCGCCCCTGGCACTACAATCGTAGACCAATGTCGACGTGATTTGCCTGTATTCCTCCGACAAAGGTGTTGTTCGACCGCCCTCTCAGGAGGGACTCCCCGAGTCCACTACGATTTCCTGAGAACTCACAAATCTTGCCAAAACAGTGTTTAATAAATTTTCTATGAAAGGCGCCGTGTGGAGTTATGCTAGTAGATTTTCAATATGTTTGTTATTCTCTTATGTACTTTTTGTTCCGTACTTTATGATATACCGTCATTTGTTCTTATGTCAAATTTTCCCCTCACTAAACATTTTATTAGCGTATTTCTTTTTTCTTTTTAGACAAATAGTCAAGACAAAAGGTGATACCCACGACTCTCTCCATGGTACTAGAGAAGTACAACGAGAGTTTGAACGTGGTCTAACTACGAAAGTTGAAGTTATAAATTTTTTTTATAAGGCCCCCTCGTAGGGGGGGTCTGGGGGGATCTCCTCCGACCTCCTGATCTCCTCCACTCGCTTGGGGCGCGGGATTCTCCTCAACTCCAGGGCGGGTGAGTATTTGCTTTTATCCGTGAAATGGGGATGGATATCGGCACTCGACTACTAGTACCTCGGAAGTAACATTCCCGTCATTAAGTCTACGTTAATCGGATATATTTGTCCGGGAGTTAACCTTCCGTGACAGACACCCGACAGAAAAAGTCGATTTTTAAGACGTTATCCATCTAGAGCGGAAAGCTGGATTCCGCCTCCAGCCACTAGAACCCGGAAATTTTTCCAACCACTGCGTGGACCACCTTTTCCTTTTTCTTACGTTACCCGCGGGGTGACATAAGGCACCCTAAAACTCACTCGTTGACGAAGCTAGTCGTTCCCGTAACTTCTCATTTGGCACCGACCCAGGAAAGTCTTTACTGTTACTAGGGTTTTGTGTGGCGGTCCCGGTTGCTTCTCACGAGCATTCTTCGTAAGTTGCCAGGACCTCACCCTTTGATTCCGTCAGAGGTCTAGAGTTGGGGGGGTATTTTCTCTTTAGAAACCCTCCCTCAAACTTTCAGACCCAAACGGCGTCTGTTACACTAAAAGACCTAATAAAGAAAAAGAGTAAAACAGAGAGGTATCAACTCCATATGCGATCCTACGGTTTTTAATTGGTCCCGCGAGAGGGGTAGAAAAATTCAGGTCTTGAAACCGTGTTTAACCACGGACTGTTTATGATAAAGAACGGGGTGACATATATTTTGTACAGACACTTCAAAAAAAAAGTTTATCGGTTTGGGTTCTAGTACGTAAAATGCGGGTACGGAGTAAAGCTAAATTAAACTAGAAAAAGTCGGGACAAGAAACGTTCCCCGACGTTAGACACTACATCGAAACTTTCGTTTACTCGACTTCCGACTGGTACCGGGAGACTGGTCCTCTCCTCTCACACGAGAGTCGACGCCCGAGGAGTCTTTTTCCCCCTCCTTTTCTCTCGGAGGCAGAGGCACAAAATAAGAATATACTAATATATCAGCAATAAGTAAACAAAATTTCGAGTTATTAATTGTTTCTTTCTGGATGACTGGCGCGTGAATCGAAAAAAGATTAAAACAGCCGCCTTCTAAATTTGAAACTGCTGTAGATTTGACTTTGAGACGACGTGCGCAGGCGGAGCAGGCAACCTTTCTCGCCTCTCCACCCACAAACAGTAGACGACGACCACCTGGATGGCTCTCTAAGTGTCGCCCTCGGTTTGCGAACGGAGTCCCCTCCCTCTTTTTCTCAGGTGTCGCCTCTATTAGTCTTCCCGTTGCGCTTACGTCGTCCCTTCAGGAAGAAGCCGACGAAAACACCCCCGTCTGGATATGTCGCCGGTGAATGTCCGGACCGGATACATCGATGTCGCGAAGGTTCGCCGAAGCTCTGCTCGGAGCACACTTGCCTGTACAGAGCACACTTGCCTGTGTATTAAGGCCGACTGCAGTCGTAGCCTACCTTAGACATAGGCGAGCAACATCCGGGGCAAAAATTTTTTCTAAACCCATGCCTCCTTTTTCTCTCCATTGAAAATAAACGACTCGCCGACGCACTCAAGGGGGCTGTGGTGGCCCCTGTCGAACAAATACATATGTTTTCTGTAGTGGTTCACCGTAAACGTCTACTCTCCAGGGGAAATTTCATAAGATACAGTGACTCATTATACATGTGGTTATAAGCGTCGTAGGAAATTTCAAAATGATAAGTAAAACCAAGTTCATGTGGAATATGGCCTCCGGGTACAAGACGTTACGTACAATCCCCATATCTTTTCATTACGTCTGTTGGACCCCCGAAGTCAACACAAGTCCCCCCCGAGTCTACAAAGTCCCCCCAACCTAAGTCTACAAATGTCACCCAAGTCATGTGAGTCTACGTAGGCTTCCCTCTTGTGACGAAAGTTGCAGTCGCCGGCCTCCCGAGCCGAGAAGACTACTTCCGACAGAAGTCCAAGATTCCGAGTGTCCCATGCCGACTGCTCTTATACTAGTCTTATTGGTATTGGTAATCGATACTGTAATAATCAAGTCCCGAGCTGTAATATTTTCCCGGCCGACCGCACGGCCTTCTTGATAAATCTGTGGGGCCGGTCGCTATTTCATGCATAGGTCGCGAACGGGCGAGCCCGGGGTGATTTTTATAACGTTGAAATTCTTTTTTTACCAGGACACCATTAAGCAACCCATAAGGGAACTGGTTAAATTCAAAATTTAACACAANTGTTCCAAAAAACCATAGAAATAATATAGAAAGCACCAGAGTGATACTACATAAAACTCAATAGTATAGCTAAAGTAATTTTCTATAGTGGCCGAAAAACCATAGAAATACTACAGGAAACACTATAGTATAACTGTAACTTCACTATAAGATCACCATAGCCAACTCTATAGTATTACTAAAGTAATTCTCTATAGTGTGTCCCAAAACACCATAGAAATACTATAGCAGTTTTTTGTGGTATTTCTATAGTAATTCTTAATAGTAATATACTATAGTGTTTTTTCGTAAGGGGAAGGTGCGCGCTCACGCGAGCCTGCTCGCGCTGCGCTCCGCAGCAAACAGCTGTTTGCTTTTCACCCAACAACGACAACCCACTCACAAAACGCTATGTTGTAGCGTTGATAAACGAAAC